TCGATTCGTGAAGCCAGGTGTACTCCTGTCTTCCTGGGCAGCCAGATGCACTAAGTGGGGTAAGCGTGCGATGAGCTCCAGTACGGGGCCAGTGTGTCTTAACCCCACGACACAGGGCTGCTGGACACCTGCCAGTGGTGCTGCCCCTGAGGACGTGCTGGCTTTCCTGCTGCGATGGAAGACCAGGCAGGGCAGCTTCCATGATAAGGACCTTCGGGGAGAAGTGACCCGTCCGCAGAGCAGGGCTTGGGCACTGGTTTCTGTGCCCCCAGACGTCTGTCACTGCCTCTGCTTCCCCTGACCAGCCTCCTGCTGTCGTGGTTTTTGCCGCCTTTCATAAGCAAAAGGCTCTGAGAGCACTCTGAAGGCGAGTTCTTGTTTCACGTGGCTTCTGAAACGGCAGGTCCCTGCTCTGTTGTGCCGTTTGGTAAGCTGCTTGGATGGCATTTTCTACCTTTGTGTTTGCTTTCTTATTTAGTCTGTGCTTATTGTTTCTGGCAGTGCGGAGTGTATATGAGTGCTTAATCTCAGATGAGGTATGGCTAGCTAGTTGATTGAATAAAAAAATGGTGAGAGTATGTGGAGGGAGGCTGACGTCAATAAATTGAATAAGTCTTCCTTTTTATTTATTGTTGTTTTCTTCCAGACCTGCCTAGTTATGTTAAATATGCCTGACCTTTTCCCCTGCTTGCCTCTCAGGGCCTCAACATGCATATAAAGGCTTCCAATGTGATTAGCATTGATGCTTCTGAGATTGCATGGAAACTAGATAGTCAGAGATAAATTGTCGGTCTCGGCAGTGGTCAGCCCAAGAGGCTTCAGCATCTGCCTCTTGCCTGGACTGGAAATGCTGCTGGGGCCATATGGCTGAGAGCTCACAGAGCAGCCAGCAGTGACTTTGTGGCTCTGTCCTAGGGTATATATTTTAAACTGGAAATTGTAGTGCTTCGGCTTGATTTAGTATGTACTAATGGATTAATTTGTAACTTAAAATGGTTGGGGCGGGGTTGTGCCCGTGTGTGTCTAGCATTGAATTTCAGTAATGTTATCAGTATTCCATTCAGGGAGAGGATGTTTCTCTTTGTGAGTATGGAAAGAAAAGCATCAGTTAGTATGTATCTGACCCTTGAGTGCCTTCTTCCTTTGAAAATGCGAACTGCTTTGCTTAGAACAAAGTGAGGTGGTCTGACTCTTTTTATTTGCTTGTTTAAATCTCCAATTATCAGCTAGTGAAATGCCAGGCTGTCTTCCCTACTTGCACAGGGGTTATTAATGTATTATTTTGTGTGCTTGCTTACATACACGGTCTGACTCAAAGCATGCATACCCAGGACTTGGAAAACCTGAGTTTAGAGGTCAGCATTGGGAAGTTTAAAACTGCAGGGTGCTGGTTGGTTATCATGAGGAGGTACCTCTCTGGCAGTCCCTCTCGGTGTGTCCGAGTCTCTGGTGTCTGTCTCCCGTACCCTGCGTTATCCTCACACCAATTCGCTGGGCCTCTGCCCTTCCCTGCACCGGCTCTCTCTCCGCTTTGCCCGGCCCCGGCCCGCAGAGTGTAGTGCATTGCTTCCCTGCCGGCTTCCAGTCGTGCTTGCTACCTGCGTGTCTCTCTTGCTTTCACTACATCAAATGTCCGAAAAGCCAAGTCAGACAGAAATTTTAAGCCTGCTTCAGCTCTTGTGATTTTATCTGCACTCCGCTGCAGACCCACGCCCCTTCCTCCTCCTGTCATTGAGATGGTTACACAGTGATTTGAAATCAGGCTTGGAGCAGTGAATAAATGAAATATGCTTAAAGATTTCACTTGATTTGTACCTTAAGATTTGGACTTGCAGAATAACACTGACTTGCATTTGTGGTAATAATAGCAGCTCTGTAATCTTCCAGGAAACTCCTTATCAGTCGGGTAATAAATCTGCACTCCCAGGAGGCTCCTAAGGTTAATAATTTGACATCGCAGTTACAAAATATGTGGGCTTTTATGTGACTTTATAAATAGACCACCACTTATAGAAGCTGGGAACACTTCTTGTGTTTAGGGAAATTATTCCTTAAGGGCAACAGCCTTTCTCCGCTCTCTGTCACAGTTCTCTTGAAGAACTTTTCCCCTTAGTGGAATTGAATAGGACCTCACTTTTAGAAGGAGGTGGTGACTGCTTTTTATATTCATATTGCTTCCCTCTACTAAATAGGAAGCCTGCAGAAGGATTTTGCTATAGGGCCCAAAGTGTCATTTAGCAAGTCATATTTACTGATACAGGATATTTAATTAAACTGCCCGCAGGTTCATCGTTTCAACTATCATTTTGATTTAAACATGCTCTGTTCTAGTTGATGTCTTGCAGAGATATCAGGCTAAAACCTATACTGTCAATGAACTTTTTTCTTTTTTTTTTCAGCTGGCAGCGAGTATGGGTATTTAAATATTTTAGAAAGATAAATTCTTGGAGTAATAATTATCACACAAGCACTGTTAAACTCTTTGAAACAGATTAGATTTTAAATTAAGTTTAGGTACTACCTAACGTTAGTGTTCTCTGGGGGAAATAGGTATTCATAAATTGCTCTTCCAAGAGTTGACCTTGAATCCAGGCTCAGATCACTGTAAACAGGATCATTTGAAATCTGCATTTCCTTTCCTTTCCCTAATTCATTTCAGTTGCTCAATAGGATTTTCTCATGAAATTAACTTTTCTTTCTCTGCATACTTACATAAGCATGCTTTTCTAATCATGAAAAATGTTGCCCATTTCAGCACTCATTAAGGTGGACTTTTACTTGAAGGGTTTCTGGATTTAAAAGAGTATATGACTAGAGGCAGAGAATCCTCATCATTTATAGCCGCTGAATCTTCCTGGGATTTTTAAATGACTTTGGAAAGCCAGATCTGATGCCGCCAGCGCAGGCTTTTGTGTGAGAAGTCTTTTAGTGAAGTACTTCCTCAGGTCATACATTTCTAAAAGCCCTGCTTTTCTTTCCTCAGGATAAATTGACTTATGTGTTACCAATAACAATGCCACAGCATTTGAAAGAAAACCAAATTAAGTCATACAAATCCGGGTTGCTGGAACCTGGGTAACATACTGGGGGCACTGTTTTGTTTACCAAGCACAGGATTGCGGTAACAGAATGCCAGAAGCTGCTCAGCTTACACAACAGAAATTTGCTTTTTCACAGATCTGAAATATAGACATCCCAGATCAAGTGCTGGCCAGTGAGGGCCAGAAGCGGATGATCTTCCCATCTTGATTACTGCTTTCTCTGCTGTGTCCTCACCTGTCACCTAGCAGAGAGTACCGTGGTGTCTCTAGAAGGACCCCAGGCCGGTGTGATCAGGGCTCTACTTACGGCCCCATTTAGCTGTCACCGTCCCCTCACAGGCCCTATCTTCCAACTAGCCACATGAGGGATTCCAGCTTCAACACAGGAGATTTGAGTAAAAATTACGGTGACTGTTTAAGTGTATATAGTAAAAGACACATGACCTTTAATCTCCTTCAAAGACTTGTGGCCTGCCGTTCAGAACACACTTTCCCCCTTGTCCCCACCACTTTCTGAAGCAGTTCTGGAGCTCTCTGTCTTGAGAGTCATTGGCTGTGTGGTCTTGGCTGCCTGAAGATCCCAAACTGATTGAAAATGCTTATATTTCATGGTCACTTTTACTTGGGGAAGAGTCAGGTGTCCTGTGGCACCAGAGATGGTGAGGTAAAATAAACGAGCACCCACCATAATGTTTTCATTGGGTACCACCCAGCAGCAGCGCTCACCAGTGTCTTAGTGTCCTCATAAGAACCCTCAGGAGACAGGACTCCTGGGACTGCGTCGGAACGTAGCCGGCAAGGTGGGGGAAGAGTGTTCCAGAGAAGGAGGATCCATGGCATGGCAGGCTACCTTCTACTATAACAAAACGTTCCATCAGAACACTCGCCATACACTTCAGTCGCACTTCATGGGGATGTTGAGAGAGCACAGGTGTTCTTTCCCACCATCTTGTCGCACCTGCCTGTGTCTCTCCCATAATCACAGACCTTGCCTTCATTGCAAACACTCAGGTGCAGATTGTTGCCAATTTTTTTTAATTTTAAAGATCGTAAAATCCAAAACAACAGAACAAAACTATCAAAACAAAGCAGCAAAATTGGTACAGAACTTCAAAGTAGGATACGAGGAAGACAATAGCAGTTGTCTGTTACATCAAGAGTAGTTGTCCATTACATCAGGTATAGCAAAAACAGAATATTGAATAAAACAAAGCAGTCAGAACAAAGCAAAGCAGTGAGAACAATTTTGGATTTCAAAGTCAAAATAGAAGGAAATCCCCCATATTTGCTGTATTACATACTACCATCCCCCCAAGAGACGCTCAGACCTCAGACCCCAGGCCTGCAAAATCAACCAAGCAATGCAAACATTTAGCTGCTTTGTGTACCATGGTTGCCATCAACCCAGCCTGTCTTCCAAACCAGTTGCTTGGGGTAGGGGGAGATTGGGTTGATTCTCAGCCCCGTCACAGGAGGTGCTGACTTTTCCTGGAACCCACCCGCCTTGTGTGACTTAGCAGAAAGGTGGGCTAGTTGCCTTCTAGGTGGGTCTTCCAAAGTCCCAGCATGGACAGTTCTCTAGATGTGCTGACTTTCCCCTTCCTCAAATGCAGATTTTCTTCTCAGATACCATTTTTGTTCATTTATGTAACTATCAAGTGGTGTTAGGCGTCCTAACTAGGTTTTGCCATGGGGAACTGGCTGTTACCAGCTGGCCCTGGTTGGCCACGAGGGACTAGATGAGAAGGGTGGTTGGGGGAGCTGGGGTGAAGTGGTCTGGGGTGCTGTCTGACGGGAGCAGCTTCAGAGGGGCCTGGCAGGCAGACCCCAAAGCAGTCTTCCAGTTCTTGCTCACAGAAGGAACGTCCGTTACATGGCAGCAAGGCAGACTTAGGCCTTAGGAATCTTTAAAGCATTTTGAACCATCCTCCATCCTCTTTTATTTTTGGTCTCTTTCAGATTGTTTGAAGGACGCTCATCAAGGAAACCAGAAAAGCTTAAAACACTCTTCTGCTACTTTCGAAGAGTCACAGAGAAAAGTAATTTTTTTTCTTCTTACTGTAATTTTCCTTGCTGATAAGAACAGTTCAGGTGTCATGAAGGAACATTCTGTGTTTAAAGAACAACTTCTGCCCAAACTAATGTGTTATGTATGTACACTAACTTTAACTCAAAATCACATCTGTATCACATATACATCAGAGGCTTGTTACGTGTAAAACCAGTAAATTAACACTTTCAAAAGAAAGTGTGTCCCTGGTACAAAAAGAATGTGTTGACCAGAATATACATTTTAAATGCACTTTATTTAAAGAAGGCATAACCAGGTGCTGATACAGGAATAACTATAAGCTGATGCATTGATTTTTCTGCCCATTCTTTCTTTCTGTTCCTCCTAATCCTTTGTAGAGTTCTTGTAAAATGAGTTAGAGGTTTGCGTGTCTTTTCTGTTGTGCCTTAACCTGGCTTTCCTGATGGGAGCCCTGGGAGTGGTCAGTGTCCAACACGCGCTCTGGCAATGAGCAGCTGAGGACCCACTACCAGCCCTCTCACCTCAAGCTCACTGACCATCGCCAAGTTTCTTAGCACCTGCCTGCTTGAGTTTTCTCATCTATACAGTAAGTTAATGATAATTATTCCATAGGGTAGTTGGAGATACTAAACAAGAAAATACATGTTTAGTATTTTCATTATTATCAGCACATAATACATTGGTCAGATTTTCCACTGATAAGACATGGCACCAACACCTACAGTTTAAGAGTGGAGAGGTCTAACTTGGCTTGTGGTTTCAGGGGATCCAGTCTGTGGCCACCTGGCTTCAGGGCAGACACACCACGATAGAAGAGTGTGGTGGACTCCGAAGAGCAGTAGGGACCAGGGTGCAAGTCCATCCCAGTGGCCAGGCCGCAGCTCAGTGACCAGCCAGCAGACCCACAGGGGTACTTCATTTACCTTCTAGGCATTTCGTAATGCAGCCAACCTGACAAACCAGCATTGCTGGCCACAGGTGACCTTCCTACAAGTCGTAGTCTTGGAAACAACAGCACTTCATGAGTTTTCACTTGTTAACCAAGTGGATCAATTCTGTTTGTGTGAAATGAGTTCTTTCCATTCTGGTCATCAACTTTGGATTATTTTAAGCCACGTTTTAGAACGATTCCAAGGTCATTTTTCTCACATCTGTTTAATCCCGGCATAGTAAGCATTACATGTTCTTCCATTGAATGTGACATTTTGGGACATTGTTCAAGTTTTTCAAAGAAATTAGCTATCAGGATTTTCACATTTAAGGAGAAAAACAGATTCTTCCATAGAGAAATATTAAACTCGCGATTTACTGAATTTTAGGTCTGTGCCTTGTACTGAATGAAATATTAAGGAAATACATGGATTATTTAGAATTTTGAAACAAAATCAAATTAGAATTTGTAATGATTTGTTAGATGACTATTTTCTTTTCTCATCTAAATTTAAATAAGATTGTTAGAAATCTGAGTTTACTTTTCTGTCCTGAGAATCAAATCATATTTCTTTTCTGAAAGGTAATTTGCCTTTCTGTGTTGTAGGATTTCAAGTAATTTGCAGGAAAACCTAACAGGTTGTTTTTCTCAAGTAGAAATATATATGCCATCATAAGTCTTGGGAGTTAGATAGAAGAAATAAATTATAATCAGACATTTTACTTTCTGGCTTTTTCACTATTCATGGTAATTTAGTTTTTCATAGAATGCAGTGAAATGTTGCAATAAGTTCTCAAGATTTAAAAGGAAAAACTCCTGGGCTGGGAGAATCTGGTAGGAGCCCGGCCACATGGAATGATACAACAAATGTCTGCATCCATCGCCACAGATAAGTGAGAAGTAAACCTGGCTGTGCAGGAAAGGGACAGTCAGGAAACTCATGAATCCCAGCTTGGCCCTGGATAGAGCAGGAAAGACGTCTCCTCTGGAAATCTGAGCCACAAACCTCCTACAGCAGTTTTAGAGTCCTCCGCCCCTGTCCACAAAGGCCTGCCGCAGAGTCAACTTGGGAGTCCCCGGGGCAGTGCCGCTAGGTGGCAGCAGCAGCAGATGCCATCCTGGAGAAACTTGGACCTTCATCCATTATAAGAGCTGGTCCTGAGGAGAAACTCAGTGTGTGAAGCAGGGAGAAAGCTCGCATTTTTAGAATTGATAGAAGAAAATTCCATCAAGACCAACTTTTCAATGCTGTTAAACATCTAATGATATATTCAGGATGAGATCTCGAAAGATTTTAGCGCCTTCTGAATGATTTTTAATATAATCTTAGATAAAGTATCTTACAGTTCTCATATTTAAAAACCAGTGATCCATATAAAGTATATACTGCGATTTTTTTATGAAGCATTTTTTAAAAATTTTGTTTAAGGAGAAAGAAAACAGAAAAGGGGTACAAGTTATACAGAATTTCAGAAAAAATAAACAGTAGAAAATCACTAGTTAATAGATTACATATTTTCATCTTAGAAATAGTTGTTCAAGTTACAAAATTAAAGCATATAAAATGGACATTCAAACAGTGAAACTGCAAACAGTTCTGTTCAATGATCCAACAAAACTAGGTAATATGGTTATCTATCTTATACACTTAAATATACATACAGTTATATCCTTTAGAGCACTTTCTTTTCCTCTCTTTTGTATGATGACAATTACACATTTTGGGTTTTATTACTCCCACAGTTCTTACTACTTTTTTTGAAGAGAATAAAACCAAATTTGACATAACAAAACAGTCAGCCGAATCAAAAGGATGGACATAGTACATAATGAAAAAACAGAATACAAGGCGATCAGCAATGGTTCCCATATATATTGTGATTTTTATTAGGCATATTTGATTGACCAAAATATCCTAAAGCGCAACTTGCCTTTTAGTGAGAAAAGCTAACACACATTCTCAGAGCTTCTGCTAATCACAGCTGAGGAAGCAGTCCTGCCTTTCCCTCCTTACCATCACGTGTTTGTTTATGGATTCCTCTTGGTTTCTTAGTGTATGTGAAGGACAGTTAATGTTTATTCTTTCTTGCCAGCTGTCGAGTGATCAGATAAGCATTAGCTTCCTGTTAATGAATTGTTTCATGGTATTTGGATTGTTTAGCCTTTTCTGGTTTTTCAATGTGCTGTCTACTTGTCTTACAGTTAGGCCTTAAAGTTTGTTTTCTAATACAGCCACTCGAATGGTTATGAAGTTGTTTCACTGGGAGCAAAGAAATGCAGGGTTGTGTCCCTGGGAGGGAATCGTTGCAGGCCTGCACAGGCCTCAGCAGTTTCGTGACTAATGGTCCTCACGCCTCTCTCTCTGTCTCTCTGTCTGTCTGTCTGTCTGTCTGTGTCTCTGTCTCTGCTTAAGAGCTCCTGTGTGTACAACGAAAACACAGAGTAGCGTGGCCTTTTCAGTTTTTTGATTTAAAGCAGACAAATTATTTCTGGACAGCTTATTTTTTGCTTTTTGCTACATCGTAAAAAATAAATATAAGATAAATCCTCTAAAAATATTGACTGTCGATAACATTTTATTTTTATCCTTTCAAACGTGTTTCCTTTATGAGAATGTCCTTTTTCTTTTAGCTCTTCAGAGCACAGTAATCCCTCCTCCTTCTCAGGCACTTAGAAGTGCAGCAGTCGCCTGTTGTGGAAGCTGAGGGTTTAGCTGTGCTAAGTCGGAAGGACCTACTGAGGATTCACTCTTAAATCTCAGACATTTCACTGTACATACATGAGTGTCTTTTGCCTGTCATTTGAGTACAGGGTTAAGGCTTTTCCTACAAAAGGAGTCTGTGAGTTACAATTCAGTTTTGTCATTGTGCATAAGCTTTTCCAACACTGACTCTTTTCTGATGCTTGGGGGATAGTTTTTAGAACTCAATAAAAAACACCAGCTCTCAAATCCAGTAATATGCTGTTATTTGTGTGGCTGTTTTTATTGGGTGGGGGGCGGGGGATCAAACTCACAACCTCACGCTTGCCAGGCAAGCACTTGAACAGTATAGTTTTATTTAATAAGGGCATACTATCTTGTAGAAGAAGCTCCTACTCTGAAGATGATATTATTTTAAACAAATATTTTTTCCTTCAATCTTTATTTTTATTAGGACATGTTTGCAGTGCATAATGATTGCATTCTGCGTGGGAAGATGTAAATCAACATCTTCATCCTTTCTTATCCCCTTCCCCTTCTGTCTCTCCTACCTCCCCAGTTCCTGTTACCTGCCTTTTGCTTTGCTCTTTATTTATAGTTTGGGTTTCTCATCTGACAGCAGCTCTGCTATATATAAGCTTGTGCGTTTCTTACTTCACTTTACGTTGTGATCTCAAGTTACATCCATTCTCCTACAGGTGACTCAAGTTTGTCCTTCTTTATGGCACAGTAATACTTCTTTGTATGTAAATGTCACATTTTCATTATCAGAGTCAAGATGATGTTGTGCAGTAACACCCATTTCCCTAGCATTTACACTATACTAGTTACTGTAAGTAATACAGAGATGATTTAAAGCATACGGGGATATTATGCAAATTTAAGGAACTTGAATATTCCATGGATTTTGATATCTACAAGTAGTCCAGGTACCAACCAAACATGGAAGGACAGCTGTCATAACTAGACCTAGTATTTGCTCATTAGTTTTATAGCCATTGTTAGACTTGTTCTGAGTGTGTGTGTGTGTGTGTGTGTGTGTGTGTGTGTGTAATTCAGGGTTGAAACTTAACCTTGTGTGTTTTTTTTCCTTGTGTCTATAGAACCGACTGGGTTGGTGACATTTACAAGGCAGAGTCTTGAAGATTTTCCAGAATGGGAAAGGTAATAATTATAAGAATAATCTTAAAATTATTCCTAAAATTAGAAGGGCTCTTACTGTAAAAGGAGTCTGTTTTCCAGCCTTGGAATTCTAATTACCCTAGAGTCAGGGAGTTTCTTATATATTAATTTGTAGACCTCACTATCAGGAAAGCTAGATCTTTTAATAAAAAATCTACAACTATTTGATTGCTAACATTTTTGCCGTAGTTTTGTCTTCTGAACCAAAGTTTTGTTTAGAATTAGATTTTATGTGTGAAGACACTGACACACCAATATTCAAATATTCCTCCTTACCCCCTGTTTTAATTACTATTTATATTTTATGGCTTTTATTTCTCAAATTTCTCTGACAAAATTAGAGGTTTTTTTATCAGTTATTATCTGGCATTTGCCTGAGTGGTACGAATTTTGAAGTTTGCTTCTCCTTGTGTACTACTGAGATTTTGCAGAGGTTGCTAACTAACTGGGTTTTTAAATTTATTATTATCTAACAAGACCAACACTAACAGCAAACTGCGTTAATTCAGATTTACAAGACCTTTTTACCCTGAAAGAGGTAACCAGTTCCCTAATCTAGAGCAAATCCCAAGACACGTACAGAAGCGTGAATCAGCCTTCCAAGTACCCATGAGGACATGCTCAAGCATACTGTATGCATATTTTAACATGCAGTTAACTAGTACCTCTCATTTTCACTTTTTAATAATTTTATCATTTTTCATTGTTTTGCTTGTAATTAGCAATGAAACAGAATCACTTAAGGGAAGTTAAGTTGGGAAGACATGCCTGCTTAGTTAGCTTTCTTGTGATATTTTCATCTATCAAAAATGTTTATTCATGAGGTGAAAGAAAACCTCTAGAAGACTGAGTGCATGGTTGAGATGATTATTAGTAAAAGCAGGTAAGACTGAACAACCAGAAAAGAGGAGAATAAAACTGAACCAGATGAGAGAACACATGCAGGAGTCTGGACTTGTGGCCCAGTAGAGATGAGAGGGTTCCAGCAAACCATGTGGCCCAGCTGCCTGAGAGAAGCACCAGTCTGCTGGGGAGTGCCTTCAGCAGGCAGAGCCGGCGCGCATCAGGGCTGGGACAGTCCAGGCTCCACCTCAGCCCCTCCAAGCCCCTCCACTGTTGCTGCCTGTGTTCATTCTGGAAGGGTAGTTAAGTAAGTTCGGCCTTCTAATGTGTATTTAAAATGCCCTCCTTCCATGTATCATGTAAGTGCTTTCTTGACCCACTTTACCAATGAACACAAGCCCGTATGCTCCTGTGATGTCTGGATTCAGTACCTGCATTTGGCATTCATTGGGTTCTTTTAAACTATGGTACCTAGAACAAAAAGTAGCACTCCGCTGTCGTCTGCCCCGGAGCACAGAAGACGTCTTTTTCTTCACTCTTCTGTTAGCCTCTACTAGGAATCCGGATGCTCCATCCACTTTACTGTGGTGTCATTTTGTAGAAGATTCACAGGGCTTTCCATGTGCACTAACACTGCAGAAGGACATCCATTTTACATCGCCATGTGGGAGGGAAGAGATGAAAATGGAGACTGGTGGCAACATGCCGTGTGACTGAGACAGCATCTCTGGGCAGCATCTCTGCCCCTGAGTGAGACCAAGAAAGAGTCTTGTTCATGCTGACAGTCAAAAATCAAATTGGTACCTTCCTTAACTCACTGTTTCCCTGATCTCTCTTCTGCTTTGTGTGCCTCATAGGGAAGTTAGAGAATGTCATAAAGACTGGCCTCGCAGACTCCACAGAACCAGAGGCATACATGAACCCAGACAGTGAAAGAGATGGAATAAGAGAAGGGTCACTGGTGTCTCAGAGAGTGTGGGCTCTCCTAGGGCCAGGAAGTGGGGTTTTCCTGAAGCCCCCTTTGCTGGCGTGTTGCCATTAGCCTGTGATGATCAACAAGTATCTTTTTTTTTTTTTTTTTTTTTTTTTTTTTTTTTTTTGGTCTTTTTATCGGTACCAGGGATGGAACTCACGACTGCCTGCTTGTAAGGCAGGCGCTTATGCCGCTGAGCTAAATCCCCAGCCCCTGATCAACAAGTATCTTAGCCAGGCTTAGCAGAGGAGTCTGTCTTCAGTTCCTAGGGCAGGCAGTACTGTAGAGGATTTGCTGGGCTCAGAACAGGAGACTGATCTAGAAGTTGAAGGATACTTCAGACAAACAGAAACTCGAGCATTGTGTAGCTGCAGTGGTAACTATAATGACGTCTCCAGTTTCGGTCATGGAGAACATTTGCCAACAGATGGAATTTGCGTTTTTAAATTTTGATAGACAGTAGGAGAGTTCTGCCTTCTCTATCCTCCAGGTCACCTCCCTCTGGATAAAATCATTAGGAAAGCAGAACCAAGAAATGGAAGTTTTCAAAAAGCAAACCTATGCACTTTGTGCAAGCGATTGTGTACTGTTTTTTTAAAAGCTCTAGCATACTGATTAAGAGGTTAGGAGTTGGTTCAGATCTTTGCTACTTTGTTTACTGGCTAGAGTGAATTAATTTGCTTTTCTTTGTAAAAAGAAATGGTAATGAGGCTATTCTGAGAATCATAGGAGTAAATACAAATAAAGCTCTTAGAATAAAATTTGTACTAAATTACATTCTTAAAGTTCTCGGTTAGCAGGAGGAATCTGCGCCAGAAATGGGTTTAGATACATTAAAATCAGTAAACACTGCTTCCCTAGCTAGTTAAATTGTTTTTTGAAAATCTGATCACCCATTTTACAAAAAGTTATTAACTAAAGTTAGGAGTTTGGATCCCATCTCTGTTACATTCAAGTATAATTCATATTTTTTATTCAATAAGCCACCAAGGGGAAATATCTAGTAAGGAAATTACAGCATCATCAAGTAACATTAATATGGTGAAATTGGTTTTAAATATATATAAGGTCAATACCTCACTGAAAAGAAAAGGAAAGAATTGTACCCTCTGAATGAGTTGCATTGGTCAGCCTTATTAATATAAAAATGCCACAGATCAGAATTTCTCAGGCATATATTTTCATTAAGACAACTTTCCCCAAATACAGTTGTCAGACAGAATAAGAACCCATCTGAGAGTCATGTATGATTTATTGCAGATTTTCTATATTTTTCCTTAGAATGTCAATTCTGGGATGACTATTATGTAACTTAAATATATATTTTTAACAGATCTCAATAAGGAAATGTTGAAGATATTATCAGCGTTTAGTAGCTGCTTGTAGTTTCACAGTTATCTATAGTGAAATACTTACTTTAAAAATGAGTAAAAAGTACCTCTTCCCGTTGCAGGTGTGGAAAACCCCTGACGCGGCTGCATGTCACTTACGAAGGCACCATAGAGAGCAGTGGCCGCGGCATGCTGCAGGTAGGGGACGTTCAGAGTGTGTGTGGTCTTCTGTCCAGCTCTGGCAGCAGAGGAAGCTGAAAAGCTGTTTATTTGCCTTCTAAACTTACTTAATGCAAAGAAGCCTGATAGCAGAATGGAGAAAACACCAGACAGATGGCTGTGACAGCCTTGGCGATGATGTTACTCGCCAGTGTCGGCTCTCTGTGTCTTACGTGAGCCCCTTCAGAAAGCCTTGACAGAAAGTCACACGCCCAGGACCACCGAGTCCTTTGGTTCAGACACTGATGGTCGATTGACAGTGGAGGAAGTTCCAGCTGTGGTCTTGACGGGCTGTCACCAGGCAGTTTCGTGTCTTTCTTTTCTTCGAAGGCTCTTGCTCTGCCCCAAATGGTGGCAAGCTTGCCATGTTTTTCTGCCACCAGCAGCTTTGTTTAGGTCTAGAAGGCAGACACTGAAAATTGATCAGAAAGGCTTCCCATCTGTAACAGCTTTAAGCTCATGAGCCAGCTTGCTAATCCTTGCCAAAGAGCAGGGAATTCTGTCTATTCTTTAGTTGTTGTCATTAATTCATTGCTGTGTTACTTTTTACAAAATTTAGAAAAGGAAGTTAACAAAATACAATATATATCTAGTTCTAAAACGTAGCACCTAAACTGAGCATGTTGGATTTTCTTTGTGATTTATAGTGATTTTTTTAAATTCACTAATCAGAGATGAAATGTTTGTTTTGTGTTTTTAATCCTATTTAAAAATCATTGTTATTTTGTTTTGTTTTGTTTTGAAAGAAGTTAGGATATCATCTCAACACTAGGAATAGCTGATTTTTCCTCTTGAATCCTTCTTTGAAGGATTCAGTCCTTCTTTAATCAGATCATTAAGCATGTGTCAGGAAATACCCTGATTTGGGTAGACCGATTTATGTGTATTTATAATGTCCACATCCCAAGTGACGAATGACAGGTTCTTTGCCTTTTATTTAGATGTAATTGGCATTAAAATCTTTATGGGAGCAAACTGTGTTATAAATCACTTTCTTCCAGTGTTTGAGTTTATAAACAGAATTACTTATTAGTAATTTGTGCTATACTTAATACATTGTCTATTTAATCATGTACTTTGTGTCTTTAAAAAGTAATTTTAGGGGCTGGGGATTTAGCTCAGTGGCATAAGCGCCTACCTTGAAAGCAGACAGTCGTGAGTTTGATCCCTGGTACCGATAAAAAAACGAAAAAGCCAAAAAAAAAATAATTTTAAAATGTTTATAGAATTTTTTCCAATGAACATCTCTTTCCCCAACATGTCCTTTTTTTACAAAATTGTTTCCTACTTTAACATCCTGGTAAAACCAGGGAGTCTCAATACATGAGACCAGAACACAGCCACTGCTCGGGAGCACCCCAGTACAGTTACACGAGAATCGTGGAGCTGCTGTCAAGGTTGGGGTTCTCCCCCGCTCAAGATGTATCACAGCTGAAGCGGGAGACTGTGCTGGAGAGAAGAGCCCGGTGGAGGCTTCCAGCACTGTTCGCTGTTTTCCCGCCCCGGCCCTGCCTCGGCAGGAGATCGGGGAGTGTTGGGTTGCAGCGCTGCAGAGCTCCTCGTGTAGCACATAAATTACATTACGCTGAATGGCAGCCACAGCAGAACCTCTCAGGAGCGTTATCGTCTCTCGCTTTTCATCAAGTTATAATTCAGAAGCTGAGTAATATGAACAAGTAGCTTTACCGAACAGAGACTTGGAAAATGCTTGACAAAGTATAAAGAGCACTCAGATGCTTATTTTATGTACTAGAACAGCTTTCTCACATTTCATAGAGAGCCTTTTATTAAGAACTTTTGTGAGTGGTAGAAACTTTGGTTTTCTTAAAGACCCCTGCTCTTAGAGGCCTGCTGAGGTTAGCATACCTGGTTCTGGGCACACCTTTCAAGTGATGAATGTCATTGGCCTTTTATCAAAGAGCACGCAAGAGCAGGCACATTGCATGTATTTCATGCTTGTTTTCAAGCAGTACAGCAGTTGGGTAGAGCTTACCTTATTTCAGTTGTGTTCAGGACCTTATTCCAGTGAAATGCAAGTGGATCCTTGGGGTCTCGTTTCCGTTCACAGTAGCGCTCAGTCAGGCGCTCAGTGCTGCAGGCTCCGTTCATGTCTCGGCTGGGTCTGCTGTCTTTACTTAGCCACTGCCCTATTTGAGGCCCTCGTAATACTTGCCCAAACTATTCAGAAGCCACCAAACTAACCTCTTTTTTTAAAAATTTTACACCCTGCTAGATCATTCTGTATAGCCTGGGTTATCTTACTAAACCATAAGTCCATTCTGCAAATTTCTCCCAGAGCTTTTAAAATTGACTACAAATTCCCTGGACTCCAGGCCACCTCGTCACCACCTGTAACCTCTCATAGAGTCCCCCACGTCACAGGCGCCTGCTTACCTTCCTGCATGCAGCTTTTGACACTTGGTGTCCTCTGTGCCCTCGAGCAGCTCCTCTCAGCCTGACATCAGCTGATTCTGAATCGAATGCCGTCTCTTCCTCCCATGCTCGGATTCCGAGTGATGTTGTCATGTGGGGAATCACAGACACACTGACGGCTCTCTCCAGAAAGTCTTTGCCATGCTGCTTATGGGTCTGGCTCCCAGGCACACTGTGTGGCCGGTGAGGCCAAAACCAGCACTTCTTATTCATCTTTAGTCCTCCGGTTTCAGCACAATACTAGTAAGTATTTGCTGAGTGGAGTAGACTAAGCTGTGAGTCACCCAGTGCCTCAAGACTCAGATGTAGTAGCTAACAGACTCAAATCTGCAGACTAGTTTTGCCAAAATTATTTTTCTGTGTCAGTTTAAGAAACTCTGGGTTGTTTTGTTTGTTTAGTTTTTTGTTGCATTTTAACATTTAACATAAAATAAAAACCCAAATACATGATTCTTAATAACAACTCATTTGAAGAATCTGTCAGTGGTATGCTTCATTATTTTCTAGTTTTTTGTGGTGGGAAAAAAAAGACAATTTTGCTCTCTATTCACGTGTGCCTTTTCACAATAAAAGAGCGAAGAGTCAGACCCCTGTTGTACTCTTATAAAACTGGCTTCAGATAATGATTTAACATCAGTTACTTCAGAGAATAGGAGCAAGTTGAAGAGATCTTACATTTTATAGTAGTTTGGAATCGAATGCACACAAATATTACGACTCTATATCACCTGAATCTTTATAGTAACCTAAGACAGAGAGGGCCACCATTGTTTTCATAGCAGAAATGGTGGCACACTCAACTCGTCAGTTGAGCGTGAAGACTGTGCACTAACTCTTTAGGAAAATGGGACTCGACACGTACTCCACGTAGAGTTTTTGTGGGACCCCTCTGTCGCTCAGAGGTGGAGCACTTGCCTACTGTATGTCGGGCAGTTTAGTTCAGTCTTTGCTCTTTATACTGAATTCTATTTTTCTTGTTTTACTAGGTGTATTTTTTTTAAATATTTGGTTATCTTCATGCAGTTTGAAGTTGAATTTAGGACAAAAATTCCATTCCTGTATTCTTCCACAGAAGAAAATAGGTTACCCCAAAGAGTCGATTATTAAACTTTTTGGTTCTTTGAACAAGTATTCAGTTACCATTTTGTATGAGAAGATATGAATGTTTTAAAGCCATTTAAAGTATAGAAAGAGAGCTGAGGGGTAAATGTGGGGAAATGACCTTTTCAGCCTGTCCAGGTAAAGTCCTTTTTTTGGGTTATGGCTTTGGGGGCACAAATAAGAGTTATAAACTAGAGTGCGGTGCATAATGTTTTGCCCAGAACCTCCACTTCTACCTGTGTTGTGCAGTTTGGGAATGCACAGTGTGTGCAGGGATGCTGCCTGCCATGAGGCAGGAAGGGTACAAGCAGCTGCCATCCTCCTTCCTGGAAGACTGACGGGAGGGGGCTGACGTCCGTGTGAAAGTGGAGCAGATGAAGGACGTGTGCCTCTTTATCACACATGTGTGCATTGTAGACCATCGTTTAATATGCCACATTTCCCCAAATAGGTGGATTTTGCAAACCGTTTTGTTGGAGGTGGTGTAACCAGTGCAGGACTTGTACAAGAAGAAATCCGCTTTTTAATCAACCCTGAGTTGATTGTTGCACGGCTATTCACTGAGGTGCTGGATCACAATGAATGTCTTATTATCACAGGTTAGTGTGGGAGTCCGGACAGTGGGGTAGTTGTCCTCGTCTGACTGTCTGAAGAGTAGAGGCTGCTCAGGTGAGCTTTTCTCTTCCGTGGGCATCAGCCCGGGATTGTCTGCATTGCACTTGCCTTTCAAAGTTAGTACGGCCTCATCTTCCTGAAGTGTTCTGAGTGTAGATCTTACCCCGTTTTGTCTTCCTTAACATCCTTCTCTGAGGAACAAGGGTAAAACTGTTCAGTTGCTCTTCAATTTAAAGTTTTATGATATAATAATTCTCTTAAAAGAGGGTAGTGATATACTTTTGAGAATGTATTCTTTTGTTATTTTCCCTTATATTTTTAAGTGATTTGTTTCTGTTAAAAATAAAAAGTGTTTAAAAATAAGATATATATATAGATATTTGTATATATGAATGAATGACACAGTATCAGTATTTGGGGAAGAATCAATGTAACAGTGAACTTTATAAAAGAGAAGTAAATCAGTAACCTAATGTTTATACTAATTTCTAATACTAAAAGCAAAAATGTGATTGTCTTATTGCCTGTCCTAGATTTCTTTAAGTTAATATGGAAAGAGTGACATTTAATCAAATTTATACTTTGGAGTTCTTATGGAGATTTAATTCTTTTGTTTTTAATTTTCTTCAGACCGAGATAGCACTGTCACATTATTTTCTTGTCAGTGAATTGCAGAAAGTTAATGCTGAGCTAGTAACTGACCTCTGGCCACCATGTAAAAGTTAAGCTTTTTATTTGAGTACCTGACAGAACATTCTTACATGTAGGCCGTCATACCCCACCAATTGTCAGTACTTTTAATTCCTAAAAAAATGCATTCGTGTTTTCATCTTAGGCTCTATTGTTGCTTTGAGATTAGTATAGGAAAGTAAAACATTCACTTGGATTGCAGAATTTGGTTTGTTGCTTTTCCAAAGATTGCAGTGGAAACAGAGCCAGCCTCTATGATTTATATAAATGTATACAAAACTGGAATTATCTCTACAGAAGTACAAGGCAAAACTAAGCTCCGCAGTCGTGTCCTGGAGCCACACCCTGCCTGCCTCGGGTGCATTCGCAGGCAGCTTGCAGCGAGTTTGTACGTTCTGTCCTTAGGTTTTGTTTCCAACATTTTTTCAGGTCTCTGTTAAGTCCAGTGTCAGTAACTGTTAGCTGCTTTTTTCCTGGGTGAGATCCATAGTCTTCTTTGCATGTCTCACATATTTTTGTTTTTGTTGTTGTTGTTGTTGAGAACTGAACATTTTAAATAATGTAGCAACTCTGGAAATCAGATTTCCCTCTTGTTTGTTTAGTGGCTTTCCTAAACAAATTCTGCGGGGTCTGTATTCTTTCTTGTGTGTGTCACCAAAGTCTCTGCGCAGGTGGGTTAGTATTCAGCCAGTGATTGTGCAGGTTTCCTTCACTGCCCAGCAGCCAGCGAGTCTCTCAGCCTGCCGAAGTGCTCTGCGTGAGGGGGCTTCCTTTCAGCATTGCGTTAGCTGGCTGATGGCTGTCTTGCCGTCACTTCCTGCTTGCTCAGGTTCTCAGAGTCAGGCAGTGAGGCCTTCTCAGGTCTTTCCTCGTCACTCACACAGCTGTGTGCATGCATGTGGTCTTCAGGATTCCCAGGAGTACATTGGAACCTTCCCGAACCCTTGTGGACATCCCAGTCCTCGGCTTTTCCTTGAATTTTGCTGGTTTGCCTGTTACCTGCCCAGCTGATGACAACATCCCTGGCAGCCTCGGTGCTAAGTAGTTGCCTGTGCTTGTTTTTTTCCAGCTCTTGAGGATTTGGCTTTTCACACCCCGCAAACCAAGTCCAGGCAAATAAAGTGAGGTCTTGCACTGGATTTAGCTCAGTGGTGTAAGTACCTGCCTGGCAAGCGCAAGGTCGTGAGTTCAATTCCCTGTACCCTAACACCCCCCCCCCAAAATAGGAGTAAAGTGAGGTCTTCCAGGGAACCCCCAGATGGGCCTACGGTGACAGCCCTGTCACAGTGGGCATGAGGAGCCTCAGTCCCCTCCTGCATCCTCTGGGGGCACTGCTGGCTTTCACCAGGGCTATGGGCAGTTGGTTTTAAGGCAACCACAGAGCTTGAGGGAGTGGGGGGGGAAATAGGGCAAATAAAAACACCATGACGCTTGCAGTTTGTACCAAGATTCCCCCAGTTTTCTCTGAGTAAGCACTCCTGCATTGCGTCAAGGCTTTCTTTGTTCACACAGTTGAATCTCAGTTTTCGGTGTTCTTACTTTGTGGCAAGATTTCCAAAACTTTTTACTCGGCTCTTTTGCCAGTTTGCTCTGCCGTTTTGCTTTGTCACTTTTGCTCCACCATGTTGCCTTACCTTTTGTAAGCGCTCCCTGGTAAAGCGGCTCTTAGCAACTTAGACCACGTGTAGACATCTAGTCTCGATTCTTATCCTTGTGCTCTGCTACTATGATGAAGTCAACCAAAAGTCGTTCATTATCTGAGTTTATGTTGGACACTAAGAACGGAAGCTTAGCGAAAGAATGTCTTCTTCATGAGCCACACGATACTGGAATAGAAACGCAGGCCTCTGTAGTTCTCAGTGTGGCCTCAGCCACCCATCAGCCTCCTGTCTACATTTGTTTGTCATCCTGTAGGCACAGAGGGAGCGAGCGGGTAGTCAAGAAGTTGCTGAGGGAGCGTGAATGGGAAGAATCACAAAGCAGCATGAGAACTGGCACAGGTCCCTTGTTAGGCAACTAAATCCTTTGACCATGTGTCTGAACACGCTTCCGAGAAGCTCTGAAGGTCAGGAGTCTGGCTGGCCCCATCAGTTTGCTATGTCAGCAAGTTCTTTAAGAGACTTTCACTTTTTAGCACTTAAGCTGGATTTGAACTGAAGACTCAGAACAAAACATCCCATCCTTTCTTAAGATGAATTTGCATCCTTGAAATTAAAAACCTTCATAGCACGTTGAGCATTTAAACGCAAAATTAAAGTGAAAAGGGTCACTGGTGTTGACCTTTGGATTCTGACTTACCTGCAGCACTGCAGAGTGACTGGAAAGATGCAGAGCCACGGCTCGCCTTCACATCTGTAATTACCTCGGCCAAGAACATTTGGGGTGACTTTTCACTTGGCATTTTTCCCACGTCCACTTAACTCTATTATAGTGCTTCCTAATTAATATCTGTGATGTGGTGCTCCTTTAATGGAAATGGCCATTTCATCATCTATTTGATGTCTGGATTTCTGCCATCTCCCTTCTTAGGAGACTCTTAGCCATGCCCTGCAATCTATCTGCCTGATCAATTCCATTCCTTCACTGATGCACCCAGGCTCTGCGAGCTAATGGCTGTGACTGTGCTGCCTGAATCTGTAGAAGAGTCTCAGAAATTGGAAATAAATTAAATTTATCATCATTGTGGGACATCTGGTTGCAGTCAGACTTTTAAATGAATATGAAACATGTCAGGCAAGCAGCAAATACTTTTATGCAGACAGCGTCATCCCTCTGTTTGCTGTGATCTTCCCTGCAAGAGTCTTTGACTAAGTAGGGGTGGAGGAAAAGAGAACTCTGGCCCTCCCCTGTCGATGTCCGCTCCCGGCCGGCAGGAAGGACACACAACAAAGTCTGGTAGTGGACAACCTTTTCTTTTTATTTTCCTTCTCCGTACAGCCTGCCCTGGGTTCTCCCAGCTGAAGCCTCCTCTGGTCCGCTCCCCGCGGCTCCTTTTGTGCTTCAGTCTGCCCCAAAGCCTCTACCGGTCCGCTCTCCGCGGCTCCTTTTGGGCTTTTACTTCTGGGCTTCTACCTGGCTTCTTCTTCCGCCCAGGGGTGGCACCGGTATATATACGGGTACAGTGTCCAATCATGTTAAAGTAAGCAAGGCAAGCTGATTGGCTAACATCATCAGTTGCCAGGCAGACTATATTGTTGAGCGGGTTGTTTACGCGGTAAGCAGGAAACTAACATATTCGATGGGAGGGGTAATCTACCTCAGGCTTTGCTCTTTACCACAGGCCGCACGTCCGCCGCGCAAGGCGAGCTATCACAGACGCGGCTCCCAACATCTCCCCCTATTTTATTTTTTATGAATGTGCGCATCGTAGCCCTTCCTGGACTGGGTGCAGAGGCTTATGCCCTATGTGTAGGCCCACCGTAGGTCCTTGGCTTAGACCCTGGTTGGCCATGCCATGGTCTGCCAAGGCCCTGAGGCCCTCGTCCTTTTTCTAGGGCCAGGCACAAACTGGACGGAACCTGGATGCACACAAGCTTGCACTCATTTCCTCTCCGTAAAGAAATCCCCTCGGAGAGAAATTTAGACCTGGGCAGCATCTAACAGTCCAGCGGCTTACGTGCAGGATGGGGTAGGGCCTGGCTTAGGTCGAGTCGTGCTGGGGAGGCACGCTCTTACCCGTCATTGACTCACCTACCCTGCTGTGTATTGTCACCTTATGGAGGAGAATGAGGGATGCCCGCCATATCTAGACTCGGTCGTGGGCCAATTGAGCAAGCCATGCATATGCCTGAGGATCTTCTTGTCCATTTCGGGCTACCGCTATTTCTATTCATCTTATTGGTTGGTCTGTGATGGATCTCCAGTAGGGCAGGTCTGATCTTCAGTCGAGGGCTTTGTTGCCCGTGTCAGTCTCTCCGGTATCCACAGTGGTTCTCGTCCCGGTTCCTGTGGGAAAACACAAACCGCGCCTCGGTTCCAGCTGACTACCGGATCCGGGCCCATCCATTGTCATGCCATAGATAACCGCGCCTTTGGAGGCAGGCCTTGGCTTACTCCCCCTTTTTGTTTTTTATTTTTTATTTTTTATTTTTATCTTTTTCGTTTTTTTTTTTTTTTTTTTTTTTTTTTATTGGTACCAGGGATCGAACTGGCGATTGCCTGCTTACAAGGCAGGCGCTTATGCCGCTGAGCTAAATTCCCAGCCCCTATTTCCTCGACCGGCGTTTTTCTCAGCCTGCTCGGCAGAGAACTCTGTGTACCAGGCTCGCCAATCCAGGTAACTACCCGAGGGCAG